TCGAAATGCCAAAGAAGTTTCAGTCATCTTACTTGCGAGAAGAAGTTACTTTTCAACATTATTTGTATTCAAACTATCAACAACCATACAATCAAAGATAGTCATATGAGTACAGACGATAGATCTGCTCAAACGCATACAGAACCAGACTGAGAGATTCTCTAGTCCGATCAGTCTTCCTCTCTATTGTCATGTAGTTTGAGTTGTGATAAGTCTCTCGGATCAATATCAGTCTAATGGGATTGAACGCTGCCCTTTTCCATGTTGTACGCGTCTCAATCCATGGATATCGAAGAAGTGTGATATAGAAGATAACTTATTTATTTTGTTTTATTGTTCCAATATCATGTTTATGCTTTCATATTTTTCAAAGCTTGTACTTCTTTCAGTCTTGTCGTCTTCATAGGGTTTATCTCGTCAACATGCCGAGACATGGAGGGAAGAAACATGGCTCACTCAAGAAAGCCGTGAACAAAGACAAACACAATAAGAACTTGGATCCTGCTCTACAAAACTTCTCCTGCTTGGATGGAATAGTTGTGGATTTCCAGAAACTCTTCAATTACCAACCACCGTAAGTTTACTCATCACAATTAATTTCTTACATGTTATTCAACCAGACTTTTGCCAATCTATGATGTACGTCTTATCGATCGCTTTAATCCAACTGTAGCCAAGTATGAATACGTTGTATGTTCTCCTTTGTATCATCTACACTGCTTCTGTTTCCAACTTTCTGCAGATGATCAAAATAGAAGAAGAATTTCATTCAATGGATTATTCTGTGACAAAATTTTCAAGAATCAGCAAGAAATTGGTGAAAATCTTCAATGTGAGTTGCTTTTTCCATGTTATACAGTACTGTCCCATGCCATCCTTACAGCAAATGAAAAATGTTTGGGAAATCTCTCCAGACTTTGTTCAAAAACAAATATTAAAAGCATATGAGTAAGGTTCATGTCTTCTGCAAACTGCCTAACTTTACATTTCAGTCAACTTCCACAAATCACTTTGGAGTCAGCACTATCCTTGAATGATCCATGTATGCTCGACTTCATGACACTAACGATTGCAATGAAATACATAATTATACTCAGAAAATATGAAAGGTAGA